TTACCCAGCAAGGCTATCATTTAAAATTAAAGGAGAAATAAGGGGCTCCACAGACAAAGAAAAGCTAAAGGAATTTGTTAACACCAAACCAGTACAGCAATAAATGTGAAAGGGATTTCACAGAAGAAGAAAAAGAATAATAAATAAATAAATAAATCAGGAAAACAGTCTAACAATAAAATGGCACTACAAATGTGTCTATCAATAATCACCTTAAATGTAAATGGCTTAAATGCTCTGACCAAAAGACATAGGGTAGCTGAATGGATAAGAAAACAAGACCCATATACATGCTGTCTCCAAAAGACCTATCTTAAATTAAAAGTTACACACAGGCTAAAACTAAAGGGTTGGAAAAAGACATTTCATGGAAATGGAAAAGAAACGAAGCTGGGGTAGCTGTACTTATATCTGACAAATTAGACTTTAAAACCAAGGCTACAGTAAAAGACAAAGAAGGGCACTACATAATAATAAAGGAAACAATTCAACAAGAGGATATAACCCTAGTAAATATTTGTAAGAGCATCTAAATATGTAAAACAAATCTTAATGGACACAAAGGGAGAGATCAATAAAAATACAGGCACTGTCAGGGATTTTAACACCTCATTGACTTCAATAAATAGATCTCCTAGACAGAAAATCAACAAGGAGACTGTGGCCTTAAATGACACACTAGAGCAAATGGATTTAATTGATAATCTTTACCCCAAAGCAGCAGAATATACATACTCTTCAAATGCACATGAGACATTTTCTAGGATAGACCACATTCTAGGACGCAAAACAAGTCTCAATAAATTTAAGACTGAAATCACATCAGGCATTTTCTCTGATCACAGTGCTAAGAAACTAGAAATCAATCACAAGAAGAACACTGAAAAACATGCAAAAACATGGATGCTAAATAACAATGAATGGGTGAACAACAAGATGAAGAAAGAAATCAAAAGGTACCTTGAAATAAATGAAAATGAAGAGACAACAATCTAAAATCTGTAGGAGACTGGGAAAGCAATCCTAAGAGGGAAATTCATAGCATTATAGGCCTATCTCAAAAAATAAGAAAAAGCTCAAATAAACAATCTAACTTTATATTCAAAGTAACTTGAAAGGGAACAACAAAGCCCAAATCAAGTAGAAGGAAATAAATAATAAAGACCAGAGCAGAAATAAGTGAAATAGAGTCTTTAAAACGATACAAAAAAAAATCAATGAATTCAAGGGCTAGTTCTTTGAAAAGATAAACAAGATTGATAAACCTTTAATAAGACTCATCAAGAAAAAAAGAGAAAGGATCCAAAGACACCAAAGAAATACAAAGGATTGTAAGAAAATATTATGAACAATTATATGCCAACAAACTGGACAACCTGGATGAGATGGATAAATTCCTAGAAACATACAATTTTCCAAAAAATAAATCAAGAAGAATCAGAGAATCTGAATTGACAGATTACACCTAGTGAAATTAAAGCTGTATTCAAAAAAGTCCCAACAGATGCTCTGGACCAGATGGCTTTGCAGGTGAATTTTACCAAGCATTCCAAAAAGAACTAACACATCTCCTTCTCAAACTTATGAAATGCAAGATTAGGGAAGGCTCACAAACTCACTTTACAAAGCTATCATTATCCTAATTTCAAAACCAGATAAAGACACTACAAAAGAAGAAAATTATAGGCAAATATCCCTGATGAACATAGGTGCTAAATCCTCATCAAAATATTAGTAAACTGAACAGAGCAATGAATCAAAAAGATCATTCACCATGATATAGTGGGATTTATTCCAGAATGCAAGGTAGATACAACATTTGCAAATCAATAAATGTGATTCACCACATAAGCAAAATGAAGGATAAAAACCACATGATCATATCAATAGATGCAGAAAAGCTTTTGATAAAATCCAGCACCCACTTACAATCAAAACTCTCAATAAAGTGGGAATACAGGGAAGATACCTAAACATAATAAAGGCCATATATGACAAACCCACTGCCAGCATCATACTCATTGGGCAAAACTACAAGCATTCCCCTTAAAATTGGGAACAAGACAGGGATGTCTGCTTTCACTTCTCTTATTCAATATAGTATTGGAAGTCCCAGACACAGTGACCAGACAAGAAGAAGAAATAAAAGACATCCAAATTGGAAGGGAAGAAGTAAAACTGTCTTTTTTTACTGATGACTTGGTACTTTACATAGAGAACCCCAAAGATTTCACCAAGAAACTGCTACAACTGATAAATAAATTCAGCAAAGTAGCCAGATACAAAATTAATATCCAGAAATCAGTTACATTTTTATATGCCAATAACAAACTAACAGAAAGGGAATTTAAGAAAGCAATCCCATTCACAATTACTTCAACAAGAATAAAATACCTAGGAATAAACTTAATTAAGAATGTAAAAGGCCTGTAAACAGAAAATTATAAGACACTGAAGAAAGAAATTGAAGAAGATACAAATAAGTGGAAGCACATAATGTTACCACGGATAAGAAGAATTAACATCAATAAAATGTGCATACTACCCAAAGCAATCTATAGATTCAGTGCCATTCCTATCAAGATTTCAATGATCTATTTTCACAGAACTAGAACAAATAATTCAAATGTTTATATGGAACCACAGAAATCCTCATATGGCAACAATGATCCTGAGGAAGAAGAGCAAACCACCTCATATCAAACTACGCTACAAGGCCATAATAATCAAAGTAGCCCAGTATTGGCCTAAAAACAGACACATAGGTCAATGTAACAGAACAAAAAGCTCAGAAATAAACCCACACCTTTATAGTCAACTAATATTTGACAGAGGAAGCAAGCACATACAATGGGCTAAAGATAGTGTATTCAATAAAATGTGTTGGGAAAATTGGCCAGATACATGCAGAAAGATGACTAGACCACCTTCTTACACCACACACAAGAATAAATTCAAAGTGGATCAAAGACTTAAATGTTAGATCCCAAACCATAAATATCCTAGAAGAAAACATAGGCAGCAGAATCTTGGATATTGCTCACAGAAATTTTTGATCAGATATATCTCCCCAGGCAAGGGAAACAAAAGAAAAAATAAAACTACATCAAACTAAAAGGATTTTGCATAGCAGAGGAAATCATCAATGATATAAAAAGACAACCCACAGAATGGGAGAACATATTTGCTGATACATCTGATATGGGATTAATATCCAAAATTTATAAAGTACTTATAAAACTCAACACCAAAAAATTAAACAACCCAATTTAAAAATGCGCAAAAGACCTGAATAGATGCTTCTCTAAAGAGGACATACAGATGGCCAATTGACATATGAAAAGATGTTCAATGTCACTAATTATCAGAGAAATGAAAATTAAAAGTACAGTGAGATACCATCTCACACCTGTCAGAACAGCTATCATCAATAAATCAACAAACAAGTGCTGGTGAGGATGTAAAGAAAAGGGGAACTCTTTTGAATTGTTGATGGCAATGCAGTTTGGTGAAGCCATTGTGGGAAGCAGTATGGAGATACCTCAAAAAATTAAAAATGGATCTGCCTTTTGACCCAGTGATCCCACTTCTGGGAATATATTTGAAGGAACCCAAAGCACTAATTTGAAAGAACGTAAGCACCCCTATGTTCATTGCAGTGTTATTTATGATCGCCAATATATGGAAGCAGCTCAAGTGTCCATCAATACATGAGTGGATAAAATAACTATGGGACATTTACACAATGGAATTCTACTTGGCCATAAAAAAAAGAAGAAAATTTTACCCTTTGCAACAATATGGATAGACCTGGAGAACATTATGCTACATGAAATAAGCCAGTCAGAGAAAGAAAAATACCACATGATTTCACTCATATGTGGCATTTAATGAACAAACTGAACTAACAAGCAAAACAGAGACAGATTCATAAATGGAAAGCAGTTGACAGTTAGTGGAGGAGGGTTGGATTAGGGAGTGGAGGACCTGAGCAAAAAGGAAACAGGACTCATGTATATAGACAACAGTGTGGTGATTTTTGCAAGGAGGGGATATGAGGGGACTAAACGGTAAAGGAAAAATACAACAAAGATTAAATTTCAGAAAAAAGGAAGCTATGACATTTCCTTCCCTGGAAACAGTGAAGGATAGTGGGAGCTCTAAATATCTCAAGGTCAGGTTTTGTTATTTCCTTACTTAACACCTTTGAGGGTCTCTTGCTGTGCTTAGAATTAAGTACAAATGCCTTCAGCCTTTCTGACTCAGCTGGTTTCTCTTTTTAGTTCATCTCTCACTGCTTCCTTACTTAAACCCTGCACACCAGCCACATGGAACTTCTTGGAGTTCTTCAGTGAACCATGATCTCTCTGCCTCAGGTTTTTGCTGCATTTTCCCTGGAATATGGTTCTCCCACTCCCTGCATACTACCTGCAACACATGCTTGGCTTACTCTATTCATCCTTTAGGTTTCAGGGTCAAAGTCACTTTCTCCCAGAAACCATATCTGTGCATGCTCCCCACATGATACTTTTCACACTGAGTTGTCTCACTTGATTTATTGTCCATCCTTGCTAAATAAACCATAATCTCTGAGAGGGCAGAAACCAAGTATGTCTGATTTCCTGTCCATATTCCTAGCACTTGCTGCCTGTGAGCCCAAAGGCAGGGGAGAAAACAGGTTCCTCTTGGGATTTTGCATCCAGCTCACCCAGTCTGTGAACTGGAGGGGTTTTGCATTACACTGACCACTACATTTTTCATTTACCACTGTGGGTGCTTGTGATCCCTGCAATCCAGGTTTTCTTAAGCTCCATGCACTGCTAAGGATAATCACGTGCATTACTCAGAGTGCTGAGTTTGCCCAGCCAGCCAGCAGGACCCTCTGTGAACTGTGAAACAATTGATTCTTCTTCAATGCACTAAGTAGATGTAAGTATCTATAATTACAGTTGCATTTTCTAAAGGACACCAATTATTCTTAATTCATGGATTATACTTACTGACTGGGAGCAGGAAACAAAAAAGCACATTGCATTGGCAGGGGAGGTATTCTTCTTCTTTGCTTCCCAGTGAGTCTTGGAATTCTTTCTACTCACCTGGCAGGGTCCAGCTCCCATTCTGCTGTGCTTTGGTAGGTCCTTCAACCTAATCTCTAGGGGATAAAAGCAGGAAGACATGAGACTATTTCAGGTTATGTCAGAGTATGTCTGGTCCTGTAGATTCAGAAAATTAATTTCATCACTGATTCACAGTAATCAGACTCGTAAGAGACTAAGTCATAACCAGAATAGAGTCTTTGCACCTGGTGGGAGGTTTGCACATTTCCTGAACTCAGAATATTGTTGGTGTGATCCAGGGCATTTTTGCCCTCATATCCCAGAAGGTCAAAGATGTTAGATACATTTTTGAAAGATTTTATTTATTTATTTTTAGAGAAAGGGGAAGGGAGGGAGAAAAAGAGGGGAAAAACATCGATGTGATAGAGAAGCATCAATAGGTTGCCTCTGGTGTGCCTCAAACCAGAAACCTGGCCAGCAACTCAGTCCTGTGCACTGAACAGGAATCGAACTGGCAAGCTTTTGCTTTGTGGCGGGACAATGCGGGACAATGCCCAATCCACTAAGCCACACCAGTAAAGACAATGATGTTAGATATTTTTTAGGTATGTTTTAGTCCAGTTGTATCCTGACAAATATTATGCTTTGCTGAATCTTGGTGTCCTTATTTACAATTTAGGTCAGGGCTATTTTAATTGTGATCTCAGTATCAGAAGTCTAAATAGAGATATCACATAAGAATTTTTATTGAAAATGGGAGTAATTTAAGTAAATCTACTGATGAACGGGCTCAAATTTGAACCAAGTGCATAAAGAGAATTCAATATCAACAATTTTCTCTGTGCACTGTCATAGCTTAGGTTCCTTAAAATCAGGTCAGGGGTTGGGAACATGTAATTTACTGAGGGAGCACTCTTCAGAGAACACTGCTTATGAAGGGAGGAGGAAGCTGAGCAAGGATTTGGTCTCAGGTAAAATTTAGCCTTGGCCTGATCCATGGAGGGGGAAGGAGCTTGGAGCATAAACTCATAGACAAGTGCACACTCCCCCAACACCCTACCCCACTTGCAGCAAGGACACCAGCCTTTTGAAGCCCCATGTCAGTCAGTCATAGGGTGTGAGCTACCCCTGGGGGTGGAAGAGCAGTAATGGCTTGTAACTTTCCAAATGAAGGGGCTCCTACCAGGTAATAGCTTCTCAAGAGAAGGGGGCAGCTGTGAGCCCTTAGCAGCCAACTCTCCTAGCAGTTAGGGCTAGGTGTATGACCTGAAGAAGGGGATCTGCGTGGGGCACCGCAGCATCTACTGCAGATACTAATCCTGTGTATTGTCCCTCTCACCTCCAGGCAGGTAGTGCAAGTTTCTGCCCGAAATTTGTTTCCTCTGCCAGCCCTTCAAAACTAGTCTAGATGCTCCTCTGTTTTCCCATCTATACCACATTAATACATTACAGCTGAACCCTGCTGGTTTGTGCCCACCTTGACTTGTAAGCTCCAGGAGGTCAGGGACCATGTTTGTCTTATGTTCCTCTCTGTCCTGTACTTAGAACTATTCCTGACACTCAGTAAATGGTTTTTGTGTGCAGGAATTAATAATGTTCTTCTACAGGTTTCAAACTTGAAAAGCTACAATTGCTGATTGAGCTAAACCAGGCATATCCAAGTACAGACAGGTAGGTGGGAGTAATATCTGCACTATGCCCCCAATTCCATGAACTGTGGGAGAGTTTACAGGGCCAGCAAAAATTTAACTAATACTGAATAACAGCTGTTTTGTTTTGAATTTATAAGTATAGTGCACCTTGTAACTGATATTTTCTTTCTTTCTTTTTCTTTCTTTCTTTCTTTCTTTCTTTCTTTCTTTCTTTCTTTCTTTCTTTCTTTCTTTTCTTTTCTTTCTCTCTCTCTTTCTTTCTTCCTCTCTTTCTTTCTTTCTCTCTCTCTCTCTCTCTTCCTTCCTTCCTTCCTTCCTTCCTTCCTTCCTTCCTTCCTTCCTTCCTTCCTTCCTTCCTTCCTTCCTTCCTTCCTTCCTTCCTTTGGGTGCCAGGGAGCTCAGGGCCCAAACCCCTGATTAAGCAAAGGGGACTGACCTTTCTAATTAAATACAAACAAGACACAAAACTTTTTATTAAGGGAAATGCTCTGAAGACTTGAGGGAAGTGAAATCCCGGGGGTGTGGTTGAGACCAGAAAAGGCAAGTGAAATGCAGAGATGAGTATGGGTATTTGTGAGTGGAGTCAGGAAGCCAATGAGGACAGAGCTGGAGACCAGTCAACAGAATGGAGACAGCAGAACAACATAGTGAGGGGCAAGTGGAGAAAGTGAGTCACTGAGAAATTCCCCAGAAGGTTAAGAACAAGGATACTGAGTATTTTAAGTTGCTGTGGTCCTACAGCAAGAACCCTTTCCACTCATTGTCTCGAAGCTTCAGTAGAGTCTGATATTCATGTATGTTAGGGCCAGAGGAATCTCAGAGAATGAAGGGTGTGTCTGGTTGGAGGCCATGTAATACAGAAAAGTATTAGCACATGCTTAAGGTGAGATTATTCACGAACTACAGCTCAGATCCTGGGGTAACCAGGAGAAATATAAGTCACTTTCCACCACCAGCCCCACAAATTCTCTGAAACAGTGGAGGAATCATGGGTTGCATGAAGGATAGGGTTTTTGAGCTAATTTGAATTCAATCTCTAAAAATAGGATTAGCTAGCTGGCATGTGTTAGAATCCTATTTTAACAAGTATTATTCTCTAGTTCATAAATCATAAAATGTTGGACTTTATAGGTAGCAATTCAATTTTTCATTTTACAGTAGAGACTGAGGCATAGAAAGGTGAAGTTCCTTGCCCCAGATCAATTTCAAAGTCTTCACTTATAAAACAGGAGATTTTGACTCTTAGTTTTGTAAATCTTAACTTATGTATAGATATATAAATGTAATTCTATAAGGTTAGAAAATATTTTAGTTAGTTAGTTAGCTAGTTAGTTAGTTATGTTTAGAGAGGAAAGGGAGGGGAAAAGAGCAGGAGAGAAACACTGAATGGCATGCCTCTAGTATGCACCCTGACTGGGGACTAATCCTGCAACCCAGACATGTGCCCTGACCAGGAATCAAACTGGTGACCTCTCGCTTTTCAGGACGATGTCCAACCACCGAGCCACACTGGTCAGGGCCACAAGTAAGATTATTAAATTCCATGCAGGAAAGGGTCATATCAAGTAACTGTGATTTCCATAGCATTTAACAAATATTAGAGAGTGATGAGAAGGGATAGAAATTGACCCTTGAGAAGAAAGGAGACAATAAACTGGAAATATCTCCTTGTAGGAACCTCTTCCGTCTTTCGTTGCACATGGAGAGTTTATCGCCAGGCTCTTGAGGAGAATACCAGTCACTTTGGTGGTGGGCTTCAAAGTGAGTCGTTCCTGCTGTTTCTGACCTGTGTGAAGACCCACCTACTACTTACTTATACTTTTTAAAACTCCTTTTCTATTTGAATGTACAAAGGCTTTTCTCTGAAATGGAGAGACAGTAAGTTACTAGGGAAGAAATCATTTCCTGGTCTTCAACACTGAGTCAGAACTAAAACAATATTAATTCACACCCATTTGTTGATGGTTTGAAATTGAACTGCAACCCTTACCCTGAATTCATCAGTCTCTATTAAAGTAAAATTAAACATTTTAAGCATCTTGGTTTGGCCAACAAACATAGAAGAACTTTATTTTTTAAATAATAAAAAACTGGGTTTTAAAAAGCACAAAAACTTCTTTTCCTTCTTTGAAGAAACAAGAAATACAAAATAATGGAAAGTTAACTGCATAATCTAATATTTAACATTTCTTATGCTAATATGGCTGAGAGCCTCTGTATGGTTTATTAAAAATTGCTTTTAGGTATAGTTCTAAAGGGGAGATTTTAAATGTATGTATCTATAAAACTAATTATAGATGTTTTTTATTAAAGAAAAGCAGGCGGAATCGCCCCCCACCCCTTTCCCCAGCAGCCTCATGAGTGGAGTGCACAAAGGGGAACACTGTGGCAAGGCTTCTAGTTTTGAAAGGCTTAACTCAATTTAAATTCCTTGCTGCATAAATGGGCAAATTCAGGAATGAAGGGCTCCGACAGTAGCCTCGCTCACCCTCTTCTGGTTATGGGAGGGCCAAGGAAAGCTTTTCATTTGGTGCAACACTATTGCAGCAAGGCAGAAGAGAGAAGGGTCGACTCAGAATGGAAGCCAACACTTCTCATAGAAATAAGCAGAAAGCTTTAGTGACTCCACTCATGGTGGTGTTTGCCTTTGTGATAATCTTTCTGAAACACCTTATCCATAGCTTGCTCACTTAGTTAATAAATTATTTATATATTTATATATGTATGTATGTATGTATGTATTTATTTTTGGAGTAAAGCTGATCTATAAATGAGAAGGTGTGGCTATAAGAAAGGTTTGTCTCATTTTGATGGGCTCTGTCAGAAAGGGCAAAGTTTCCTAACTGGCTGAGTTATGAACCAAAAAAATCTGGTACTTATTTTAAGGTTCTTAACAACGCATTACTCTCTGATCTCCATCCCAGGGACAGAATCCCATGAGGCCGTGTCACCTTCAGTGTAGCATTCTAAACCCCCAAGCCCAATGCTTGGCACACAACGGGGTCACAACAAATACTTACTGAATGAGTGAACACCTTTAAAAGTGCTTGTGGTGCTGACTGGTCACAGCCAGAGCCTCTCCGTGCCATGATTAAGGTTTTGAAGAATTTTACAAGAGTTTTTGAAGGCCATACTTAGGTCACAGAGGAATCTTAATGAATGTAGCAACATCTGGCATAGTGGCTATTCTAGAAAGGATTAGTAATATCAAATTTATCTAATAGTTATATATCACTTAACAGGTTACAAAATGGCCTCACAGGTACCTCATTTGCCTTCAGTAGTGCTGAGATATGGTTAGTAGAGGCAAGTGGAATGATGCTTCCATAGCACTGAAGTGATAAGGCTAAGATTCACATGTGTTTTCTGTCTGGCCATCTTGAGCCTTTCAAATCTCCTAGTGTCCATAGATGTAATGGTCACCTGGCATTCTCGAGTTGGCTGACACTAAAATCAGAGGAGGCAGTCACAGCTTTTAAAGATCAGCTTACTAAGTCATCCCTTGGACATCTCCTCTTATTGCTTTTGACAACCAGGTGATGGGAATTAGGAGGGCTGAGCTGGTCTGGCTACACAACACCAAATGGGTGAACAGCCTTTTTAATAGCTTTCCCTTCCCAGCTCAGAACATTACACACAGACTAGTGTCTTCCTGCATCATAAAAGTTTGCACAGGGTGAGACTGTTGAACATTTTCCCAGAAAGTGGACCAAAAACACCCCTGTGCTGGGTCAGTGGTCAAAGACATTTATAGGTTAGTGCCAGAGTGCCCCCTAGTCAGTGTTTGCTAGTGACTTGGTTGGTCTGTTTGATTTCAGGGAAAATAAACACAAGACCAGCAGCCAAATATTTGCTTAGGCCCCAGCTTCAGTTGGACAACAAACCTGTGAGCAGTGTGATTGCTCCCGTTCTTTTCCTGCCAAACACACCCCTGTGCAGCTCAAAAGACCCAGAGCAAATGCCACCTTTCTTGACAATCCCATTCTGGAGCACCCTGTGCTTACTCATCTCAGAGCCCTTATTGTGCTGAATTTTAACAGTTTGCATGTCAATTTCCCCCAGTGACTCAGAGTCCTTTAAGAACAGGACCATCCCTTTCATCTCTGTTTGAAAGAAAAATATTGGCTAGCAGAAATGAGTCCCAGAAGTCCAGAGTACAGTCTAGTGACTTTCAAATACTTTTTCATTACAACCTACAGTAATAAATACATTGTAAATAATGATTTTATTAGCAAATGTATATATATACATAAATGTAATTTTATAAAGCTTAACAAAATAATAACATATGAACTACCATTATCTGGAATTTTGTCTTCCAGTTTATTCTCTATTATTTTTCCAAATGTTTATTGTGGTACACTAAATTGATTTTATGACATGCTATTAAATGCCAATGGCAGTTTAAAAATATTAGTGTATTTGGCTTTATCTGCCCCTTCCACCCCACTTCTCATTTCCTTTTATTCTTTTTATCTTTTCTATTGTTGAACAAGTACATTGCCTCCATTCTCCACCACCACCACCACTCCCCCCACCCCAGCCATCCCCATCTCCCAACCTCAACCTACCCCTCTTTGGCTTTGTCCATGTGTCCTTTATACATGTTTCTTGACAACTCTTCCCCTTTCCCCCCCATTGTCCCCTCCCACCTCCCCTCTGGTTACTGTCAGATTGTCCTTAATTTCAATGTCTCTGGTTGTATTTTGCTTGCTTGTTTGTTTTGCTGATTAGGTTCCATTTCTAAGGGAAGGGGTGGCTTCCATTCTGAGTCGACCCTTCTCTCTTCTGCCTTGCTGCAATAGTGTTGCACCAAATGAAAAGCTTTCCTTGGCCCTCCCATAACCAGAAGAGGGCGAGCGAGGCTACTGTTGGAGCCCTTCATTCCTGAATTTGCCCATTTATGCAGCAAGGAATTTAAATTGAGTTAAGCCTTTCAAAACTAGAAGCCTTGCCACAGTGTTCCCCTTTGTGCACTCCACTCATGAGGCTGCTGGGGAAAGGGGAGGGGATTCTGCCTGCTTTTCTTTAACAAAAAGGAGGAGAAAGGAGTTGTGATTGGGTGATGCAGGGAAGAAAAGAGTAATGGAGCATGGATAGGATATTGAGAAATCAGTGTTCTCCTATTCCCCTTGCAGCTCCTTGGACTGGGTTTGAACTCTTACATGTAGAACTGAGTGTTAGAAACTAACCAGGAGAAACGTTATAAAACTTTGGGCACAAACAAGGCTGCTTCAGGTTACAACCCTTGTGCCACATGCCAAATCCACTCATTGGCCTCTTTTTGTAAATAAAGTTTTATTGGAACAATCTAGCCCATTTATTCTCATATTGTCTAGGGTCACATTCGCTATAACTGAAGACTGGGGTTGTTTCAATCAAGACCAGAAGACTTACAATATTTACTTTATGGCCCTTTGCAGAAAAAGTTTACCAACCTTTGGTATAAAGTGTTTCCTACCTCCCTGGGAGGACACCCGCATAGCTCTAAGGCAGCAACAGCAGACCCTTGGGCATGCCCAGTATCCTTCTCAAGGTAGCCCTTGTCATCCCATCCCCAGCATTTTCAGGCTGGGGACACAGACCAGCAGCAGCACAGCCTGAGCAGGAGAGGCCGAAGTGGGTAGCTCTGAGTGGGGACTGCAGGTGCAGCCTGCAGCTTCCACTGCCTGTGGAAGCCTGGGAACACTTGGGAAGTGACTGTGACTACAATGATGAGGCCCCTTGAGCCTGCTGACACTGGGGTTTTATTTGCCTTTTCAGTGCCTGGTGCAGGAAACATATATGGAAGATGCTAAATAAATGTTTGCTAACTCTTTCTTAAATGAGACAGGAACTGGTGGTACGTGGTATAGAAACTGAGATTTCCCAGAGCCCTCCTAAAGGCAATGCCTGTCAAGAACTGGGGTGCCTGCAGCCCAGAACTGAAATCATCTCTCCTACTTAGAGATCATGGTATCTATTCTTAGCTGCTTTGACTACTAATACCAAAGATAAAGATTATGAGAGTGATTATAGCTAACAAATAGATAAATATTATGTGCTTGTGAAGTGCTAAGCATTACTCTAGGTCCTTTATAGATAGTAATTTATTTTTATTCTTACTACAAGAAATTCTAATTTAATTTCATTTTATAGGTGAGGAAACTGAAGCACAGAGGGGCTATATAACTTGCCCAAGGAAAAACAGCTAGTTAAGTGGCAGAGCCAGAATTTAAAAATAAGATGATTTCATATTTGGAAAAAAAATGATTGCTAGGTTGACAGAGATGCTGGCTCATTGATTGGATCCAGTGGGCTTTCTTTTTTCTTTTTAATGTCATCTAAGAATGTATTCATTTGTTTAACAAACCTTAAAAGATATGCTCTGTGTCTTTCTGTTTTGTCTGTAACTGGTCTAGAGGTGGGTATGTTACTCAGTTCTAGTCAACAGGATGCAAGAAGCCTGCTGGGGCCTACTGCAAAGGATTTCCAACCATGAACATCTTACTCATGGGCAAAAGCAGAGGAAAAAGACTGTGTTACTGGGATGCAATGCTTGACGATGCTGTTGAGTACCATTTCCTCCCAAAAGTGCACACTGCTGAATTTCTTATTAGGCAGATTAATAACCCCCCACAGTTTAAACCATTTTTGTTTGATCTTCTTTCATTCAGATGTTCTCCACTCCATTATCCTGTTATATTTCTTTAGTAGATCTTACCACTATCAGAAAGTATCTTACTTATTGATTGCCTTCCTTATCTGACTATCCCCCCACTCCCTCTTCTAGAACAGAAACTCCTGAGAACAGAGCTCTTATCTCCACTATTTGTTGCTCTGTCCCCAGTCCTAGAATATGTCTGGCCAAAGCGTTGGGGAATCTCAATATAAATCAGAGGCTCACACTTCAGTGGAGAAACAGACAAAGTTATCCAACATAAGAAATGTCATCCTAGAAGTAAAAACTACAGAAAATGAGGTCTGCTTAGGAGTTGCATGAAGCTGTTGCAGCAGGTCTGCTTTCAGACTCACTCCCACCCCACCCAACAACCGCACACGTATCAGTGTCAAGCTTGTTTTAAAAAGAGACCACTTGGGTTTTTTCTTATTTATATTACTTTACTCACTTAATTTTATGTCCTCTCTTGTAAAATCTGTCTTCAGTGTAGCTAATTTTAACTGACAATCTGCTGAGTTCTCTGGGCTGAGACGTGGAGCAGGACTGTGTTTGAATTTACCAATAGCCTTTATATCAGATCACAACAAATGTGTTATTTGTTCCTAACTTTCAAGGACGCTATATTGAATTCAAAATGTTTTGAAGGAAATAGTCAATCCAAGGAGCTGTTTTCAGTAATAGAAATAAGGGCAGAGGTCACTTGTTTTTAAAAGAGCTTTAAATGAGGAAAGCCTGTTTTAAAGGAATATTTGTGTTTTTGTTTGCAGTTATGCAAAAATAAATAAGCAAGGGCTATTGTTTGGGGAAGTAAGCAAATATGGATGTTTTGGGAGAAGCCGTGAGTTTTGCTCTTGGTTGGTGAGGTGAATGGCACATGTTTGAGAGGATGCTATTTCTAAAGACTTAGTCACTTCTTGGGGGCCTGGGTGACTTGGGTGCTGGCTCCTGTGGAGTTAAGTGTGCTCTTCTGGGGGGCAGTTTCTTCCAGAAAGGATGTGCAGGCCCAATCATCACCACGTGCTAAAGGAACAGAGCTGGACTTGACCTTCTGGATCCAGGACTAGCCTGTTAGTGTCCTTCAGGATAGAATCTCTGAGATCAGATTAGAACATTGTGTTTCCATGTGAATGTACTATGAGCTTGAACTACTGAAAATACCCTAAAAATGGACCACAATATATTATGATACTATTGTCCTAAACAACCACATAAATAAAAATGTACTAACGTTGGACCCTTCTGCTCTGATGTGATTGTCCATGAATGTGAGGGGATTTGGGAGAAAGGACTCTCCCCTGTGGGAAGCAGAAAGGTCCAGTATCAATAATCCTAGGAAAGGGGAAATCTTGGGGTGTGAAGAATAAGGGAAACCTCTCTCCTTTACTGTAGGGGAACCCCCAACTTTTTCTTCATTGATCCAAATAGTAGGTAATTCAGACTCTACAAAATGTCAGCTCAGCTCAAAAGAGTCAGGAGTTTTGGCTAGAAATAAATGACAAAGGTTTAGTCAATGGTCTGCAGGTTTGCAAACCAGAAATATAACTAGGAAATAGCTAGAGTGTTCTGAAAGGGAAAGAATAGTTGAGGGTTCTTACAGTAAAAAAAAGTATATTCTTGAGGAAAATCAGTTTACATTCTCAATCCCAAGATTGGTTCAAGATGATAGTCATCATATGTGTGGTGCTAATCATCAGCTGTCCAGCGGAAAATTGGAAGATTTGCTTCTTGAGGTCATTCACAGTTGTTTGGCAGTTTGATGTATATCCATTCAGTAACATACAACACAGTGATATGTGCTCAGGTTGACACAGAAGTGGAAAATTAAAAAGTTTAAGTTCCCAGAGTCACTTAAAACAAAAGTAATTATTTCCCTATGCCTCTGTCCACTTGAAGAAGTTAAGAATTTAGCAGCTTGACTATAGTAACTCCATTTTATTTCTTCACTCTATTCCTCACAGACCATGCACACAGTTGCTGTCACAAGTACTTGACTCTGGCATTATAGCACAAAAACAGCCACAGACAATACATAAATGCATGTTCATGGCTGTGCCTCAGTAAAATTTTACAAAGCAGGCAGCAGGGTGGACTTGACTCATGAGCCATAGTTTGTCAACCTCTGTTTTAGAGCAATGTGGATGATGGTGCCTGGGAACCAGAGGATGTAGGCATGTCATCAGAGGATATGTTTCCCTCCTCACCCTTTCTCATCTGCATAACTTGGCCAAGACCTATGCCAACAGGATACCTTCCAAGACCCTCTAAAAATGTGGGCTCTGAAGACACTGTTTCTAATGGCTGCTGTAATATAGTGTCTGTTATCTCTCTTGATAACTCCTAAACTTCTCTTCAGGCAGAAATCATCGCTTCACTTAGGTGAGTAAAGGGGAGTAAGAGAAGGGCCTAACTCATTTTGGGACCGAGGAGCAAAGGGAACAGGTGTTCTCTGACTCCAGAGATAGTGGTGGTTCCAGTGAACCCCAGCAGAGGACAGGGTCCCTAGAGAAGTCAAGAGTTGAAGAGGAGGAGAAACCTGTTTGTGTAGAAAAGGAGGTAGCAGGCCCTCAAGGCCATGAATACCAAAAAACTTCAGAAATTTGTCTATAGGGATGTGTAGGCTTAAGTCATCACAACCAGAATGCTTAAGGGAAATGTATTCTCTTTTATAATCACGGGTAGTGAAGACTGGACACAGGCTTCAATTGGTGGTCAACCAATTACTCCTAGGTTGACTGACAGCTACAGCCCTGTCCTAGATAAACCATCAGGGCCCCAGTCATTACTCTCTACTCAGCAAGAGTTAGAACCAAGGACTGAAATCAACTGGGTTAGTCAGATTAATTGCCTTAGCTGTCTCCACAAAGTGTCACGCAGAGCTGTTCAGCTTCTGTCCCACCAGGAAGAAAATTCCTTCGTTGTCAGCTGTGGTGGGAGAATAACTTTGAGAGATCACCTCAAACTGCTTGATGCTATAGCCAGCCTCTCTCACGGAAGCCTCTACTGCCTCCCTGCCCAGGCAGAGGCTGGAGAACTTCTGCTCACCAATCATATAGTAGCTGCTCTTCAGGGCATCCACAATCACCAGGTAGCCCCCTGGCTTCAGTAGGCTGCTGAGGTTCCTGAGGGCTGTGCGGTAGGCAGGGAGGTCTGGACAGGCAGCATCTAGGCACAGAGTGCTGAGGAGGCAGTCAGCTGGGGGCAGGGAGATAGCACCCAGAGGCTGTCTCTGGGTCACATCACACTTCAGGACCTGCTTGATTGCCCGCCTCAACTTCTCCTCTTTTTCTTGCCCTTTCACTCTGAAACACAAAAACCAACATACATTTTGTGACCTGACTCACGGGGACAAAAAATCTCTGCTCAGAGCTGAAAATCAGAGGGTTGTCCCATGTGTTACCTTTTTAGGCCCTCCCAGTTGTAAAAGCAGAGAAAGAAGAAATGAGAAACCATTTTTGTATCTGAATGTGATCACATTATCCTGTGCTGGGTTAAATCTTTTATATGGAAATGATGATAAAAATACCCACCCTATCTGATTAGGGCATCATCCCTACATGCCAAGGTTGAAGGTTCAGTTCCTTCAGGGCACATACCAGAATCAACCAGTACACTTCCAGTCAAGACGGAGGCATAGGTAAACATGCTTCACCTCCTTGCACAACCATAAGAAGGATCACAACTAATTTTAAAATTAAAAACACCCAGAACTGCCAGAAAATTGAACTGTACCAAAGTCTGACAACCACGGATTTAAAGAAGCTAAATTCATCTAGACAGGTAGGAGGGGCTGAGCCCTCAGGATACAGTGTGTTGGAGTGAGGTAGTAGTAGCAGCCGGTGGAATGGGTAGTCCCATATTCATATGTGGTGGATAAAAATCAGGGGGACACCTTGTGAGCAAGCAATCCTAGCCCTAGGCCAGAACACGCAAACCAGGGTTCCAGTGCTGGGGAAATACAGCCTCATAACTTTTGGCTGTGAAAACCAGTGGGGGTTGGGATAGCAGAAGAAACTGCCAGTTTCTCAAGAGAACCCAGAATGTATGCCAACTCACCAACTCAGAACCACAACCAGGACAGGAGCTGGAGGGGTACCAGTCACATATGGGAAGTGAGTGAAGTGACTGGAAATGGGGCAAGTGCCAGGTGAGTCCCCAGAAGTCAGCCAGCAGTGGAATTGTCCCCTCTCCTACCCTTCCCCACACATGCAGCCACAAAGTGGTAAAGCAGGCTGTCCACTCTGGCAAATACCCAAGGCTCCACCCCATACAATTTAACAGGTGAGCTAAGACAGGGAGTCAAAGTAGCTCTAATGAGTACACAGACACAGGTAGGCTGCTACATTGAGGAGACACAGAAATATGGCCCAAATGAAGGAAGAGAACAGAATCCCAGAAAAAGAACTAAGCAACGTGGAGATAGCCAACCTGCCAGACACAGAGTTCAAAACACTGGTGATCAGAATACTCAGATATCTCACTGAATATGCCAAAATCATGAGGTAAGAAATAAAGGCTACATGAAGTGAAATAAAGAAAAATCCATAGGAAACCAACAGTGAAGGGAAGGAAGCCAGGATTCAAATCAGTGATTTGGAACATAAGAAAGAAATAAACATTCAACCAGAACAAACTGAAGAAACAAGAATTTTAAAAAATGAGGCAAGTTTAAGAAGACTTTGGGACATCTCCAAAAGGGCCAACATTGAATCATAAGGATACCAGAAGGAGAAGAGGAAGAGCAAGAAACTGAAAACTTATTTGAAAAAATAATGAAAGAAACCTTCCCTAATGTGGCAAAGGAAATAGACATACAAGTCCAGAGAGTACAGAGAGTACTCAAACAAGTACAGTGAGTCCCAAACAAGTTGAACCCAAAGAGGAGCACACCAAGATACATCATAATTAAAATGCCAAAGGTTAAAGATAAAGAGAGAATCTTAAAAGCATCAAGAGAAAGGAAGAGAGTCACCTACAAAGGAGTTCCCATAAGACTATCAGATGATTTCTCAAAGGAAACTTTGCAGGCAAGAAGGCACTGCCAACAAGTGTTCAAAGGGGTGAAAAGCAAGGACCTACCATCAAGATTACTCTATCCAGCAAAGCTATCATTTAGAATGGAAGGACAGATAAAGTGCTTCCCAGACAAGGTAAAGCTAAAAGAGTTCATCATCACCAAGACCTTATTATGTTAAAGAGCCTTATTTCAAAAAAAGAAGATCAAAACTATGAATAATAAAATGACAACAAATTCACAACAATTAACAACGAAATCTAAAAAACAAAAAAAAATTAAGCAAACAACTACAAGAGGAACAGAATCATAGATATGGAGATCATTTGGAGGAATATCAGCTTCAAAGGGGAAGGGGGAAATGGGTAAAAAGGTATAGGGGTTTAGAAGCGTAATTGGGTAGGTACAAAATAGACAGGGGGAGGTTAAAAACAGCATAGGAAATGGAGAAGCCAAAGAACTTATATATACAACCCATGGACATGAACTAAGCTGGGGGGTGCCAGCTTAGGAAGGGGTACCAGGCAGAGAGGGGCAAAGGTGGAAAATTGGACAAGTATAATAGCATGATCAATAAAATTTAAAAATCAACCAATGAATGCATAAATATGTGGAACAACAAATAGATGTTCTTTCTTTCTCCCACCTCTCTCTAAAATCAATAAAAAACTAATATTAAGAATACTTGGCAGGAAAGTGAGGTCAGGGGAGTTGGAAGAGGGTATAAGGGGGATAAACAGTAATTAAAAAATACAATAAAAATAACTAGCTGCCTGTTTTTACACTGGACTGCTCCCATGAAATTATTATTCTTCCACTGCTTAAAATAGTACCTGGTTCATTTATTACTATTATTATTAAATTATAATTAATTAATTAATTAATTATATTTGTTGTTACATTATTTCCCTTGTCCCCTCTACCAAATTGCAAGGTGGTAGCCATTTGACCCATACATATCAGGTAATAATGGATTTAAAATGCTGAAATGGTATTTCTGTTTCAGCTGCCAGTTAATGAGGGGAGTGGGGTCATCACGGACATTTTTAGAAACTGTTGATCACTATAGCAAAGCCAAGGCCAGGACCCCTCTAGAAAGAATAAAACTAGTTACCATTCTCAGGCTCTAAGCCGTATTGCATTAGTGTGTTTTCTGAAGGAGATCATTTTCTTGGTAGCCTTACAAGGAATGCTGTCCTCTTCACCAGATCAGTGGGGTGTCTTGAGAGGAAAGCAGTTAATAAAAGGAGCAGAGAAGGCAAGGGCAGGAGATAGAATAGAGTGCCTTGGATCCTTTTAGAATTTGTTAGGGGAGGAATGAAGGAACAGACTGACAAATTAAACACACACGTAGAATTCACAAGAGAAACTGGAGAAACAGACAAAGGAGAAAGAAGCAGCATCAAATCAGAGAGGTAAGAGAAAGGGAAGAAATGTGTGTACAAAGTACCCACAAAGCCTCTGAGCCCAAAGAATAGAGTAATGATTTGGCATCGAGCTTTTTTTAAATTTAATTATTGTTCAAGTACAGTTTTCTGTCTTTTACTCCCATCCCAGCCCACCTTCCCCAGTGCTCCCCACCTCCCCTCCCACGTCCACCCCCCTTAGTTGTTGTCCATGTGTCCTTTACACTAGTTCCTGTAAATCCTTCCCTTTCTCCCCCTGAAATTCCCTCCCCTCTCCTCTCTGGTCCCCGTCCCCCTGTTCTCTATTTCAGTGTCTTTGAGCTTTTTGAGGAAGTTAATTAACAAAGCACCAGGGTACAAATCAAGGCTTACATTTAGAGAACACAGTCCCTTGGCTCCAGGAGAAGAAAGTCACTTGAGCAACAAGGCCTGATGGAGAGAACAGAGGATGGCCCAACATCAGAGCAAGAGAGAGACTTAACTGCTACTATTTCTGGTCATGATGAAAAGTCAATGGTTTAAATGAAACTCGGAGACTCATCTCCAGGTGGAATAATCTGAGGAAATAGAAATTAGTTGTGGATATCCTATTTAACTATTTAGTTAAAATCTTAAGCCTATAGCATATAATTAGTTTCTATAACATCCTTTATATTTATTGTAATTTTCCACTTAAGAAACTTATCAACAAACATATGAAAAGATGCTCAACATCCTTGGCCATCAGAGAAATTTAAATCAAGCTATGAGATACCACTTCACACACACTGGAATGCCTACAATAAAAAAGATAAATAATAACAAGTGTTAACAAGGAAGGGGAGAAACTAGAACCTATACACACTGCTGGTGAGAATGAAAAATGGTCCAGCTACTTTGGAAAACAGCCTGGAAGTTCCTTAAAATATTAAATGTTGAGTTAGCACACGATCCAGGAATTCCACTCATAAGTTTTTACCCAAGAGAAATGAAGATATATGGTCACACAAAAACTCATACATAAGTATGTATAGCAGCAGTATTCACAATAGTCAAAAGATAGGAAAAGACCCAAATGTCCATCAACTTATAAGTAGAGAAATAAAATGTGGTATATCTATACAATGTACTATTCAGTAATAAAAAAAAGAATGAACAAATGATGTGTGCTACAATATGGAAGAATCTTAAAGGCATGATGCTAAGTGAAGAAATCCAGACACAAAAGGTCACATACTGTATGATTTCATTTACAGGAAACGTCCAGAAAAGGCAAAGCTATAGAGACTGAAAGCAGACCAGTGGTGGCGAAGTGCTGGGAGGATGGGGAAAAGGGCAGTGACTGCTAATGGGCACAGGGTTTGTGTGGAAAGTTTTGACAGTGTTCTCAGATTATGTTGAGAATTGAACAACTCTGTGAAAATACTAATAACTATTAAATTGCATGCTTTAAACGGGAGAATTTCATGTCGTGTGAATTTTATCTCAGCAAAGCTATTATATATGAGGAAGAGAAAGAGAGAGAGAGAAAGCTTAGCAAGGTGTTGGTTTCAGAGACTCCCTACCAACCAATAAACTAGTGTAGACAGGGAATAATCATTTTTGATTGGCTCTACTTGCTCTCCTATCAAGGATAAAAATGATAGTGGGATGACCAACCCGGTCTGGACTTTCTGGTTTTCTCACTGAAAATCCCCGATCCTAGGAACCCCTCTCAGTCCTGGGCAAAGTGGGAAAGTTAGTCATTCTAAAAGTAGGAAAATCAGTTACAAAGCTGCCACCCAGCCTAACAGAACATGGATAATGTATTTAACAGAACATATTAAAAATTAAAAGATAATAATTCAACATTATGGAAGTCTATGTAAAACACAAATTTGAAGAGGTAAATTAATCCAGAACA